CCTGCCAGAAGACCACACTTTTCTCGGGCCATTATCTCTGTAACCGTTCAACTTTGGACATAGGTGTTTTGGGTTATATCGGCATACTTTAACATAAGGAACACCCTCCCGAAGTTTGGACCATTCCTCCTGGGACATTCTGTATATGTATATATATATATATATATACAGAATGTGTTGGTTTTTACTGTTGATACAACAGTAAACACAGTGTCACACAACAGTGGTCCCTATCACGTAACTGTTTTCTGTGTTGTCGCCTAAGTAAGGAGCACCGAACACTATTCAGTAGTGAGTAGTGAGTAAGTAGTGGTGTAACTGTAAGACTGAATGTGCAATAAATTCGCTATATCTAGTACAGCGCGAAGTTATTTGTTATGTGACATATACACAACACGTGACAATTTTGTGTCAGAATTGGTTTATGAACTTAAACATGCCTTGATCTAGGAAGAAGTATTGAATTTACGAGAAAGAAAAAAAGAGAAGAAAATGTAGGAGCAAGACATTCAACTAATGAATGAAATTAGAACCAACCAAGAAAATGCGGACGCCGATAGAAAAGCCTGGCAAGAAAGAGCTGCTGCAGAAATGGAAGCAATCAAAGCAAGGACGAAAGCCATGTGAGAAAATATGGGCACCAGCCGCAAGGAGATGGTGGCTGAAATGAAACCCGAAATGGATGAAGAGATGACAGCCTGCCAAGAAAAGATGGAGGCGCATCTAGAAGAGAAAGAGCCGACCTCAGTGGAAACAAAACCTGAGGTCAGCCAACAACGAGAAGTCCCCGTTGAAAATGCTGTACTGAAACCGGTCAGAGGACGGAAGAAGCAGCATAGGGAGAAAAAGCAAGCTGCAGGGCAATGCAGGGAGCCAAAGAAACTGACCCAGGGAGATTGTGGATCCTGGATGAAGTTGGCTGCTGCCTGCAGGGAGGTGTCCCACCGTGCAACAATGGCATGGTGCAAGAGGAACATCTTCAGGAAATCTTGGACCCAAAGAAATTGTGGACCGCAGAAATAAGTAACCACAGCCATGAGGAAGATTACACGCTGTGCAGGACACAAGCGTATGGGACAAAATAAGAATAAGGTCGCACCGAAAATCACCAAGAAACGGACGTTCAGGAAGAAACTGTGAAAAGGCCCGGAATGCAACATTGGCATAAGGGACTGAGGCCTGAGAGCAACTACAAGGCAGAAATGGAGTGAAGGACCTAGGTGGTGGATAGCCGCGATATGTGAAGAAAGCAGAGCTGAAGAAGGCACAAGTGAAAAGCACGGGAAATTTTGACATGAATTTCATGAAAACTGCAAGACTGGAGATCACCAAGCGAATGGTCAGATCTGCTGTTGGGTTGTGGACAAGAAGGGATTGGACCTTGTGGAGGGGTTGACCCCTCCAAAACGAAAAAGAAGCAGAGCACAGAGGAGGAGCCTGTAAACTAGAAACACCGATCTCCCAAGAGAGAGTGAATGTGAGGGACGATTGTGATACAACTGGATCTTCTGGCACATTAGCAGAAAACCGCTCTAGACGAGCTGGCCTTAGAGAAGGGAGCGGAGGATGTAACGGCCAGAAAATAGTCACTGTAAGAGGAGTAGGCGAAACAACAGGAGACACAGCAACGGGAAGAGAAAGGAATGGGGATGTACCATTAGGCTGTTCGGGATGAACAACCTTTAGAAGGGAGCAGTGTGACATGGATGGCGCAACAGGAAGTAGGGGTGACGTGAACTCTGCTTCCTTGCGAGTGACGTCACATACCCCCACTCCTTCCACCATTACTCGACGCTCGGTAAACACCCCTTCCCACTAGGCTGTGACATTACGCAACAGGGGAGCCCATGCAGCGACTGTTGCTAGGCAATCGGTGAACAGTGTCACTCAACAGTGGTACCGTATCACGTAACTGTTTTCTGTGTTGTCCATGCCATGCCTAAATAAGGAGTTGCGAACACAATTCAGTGAGTGAGGATTGAGCCAGTGTTCTTTTATGTTGATACCGTACAGAGAATTTCTCTCTTCTATTCTGATAGTACTGTTGCATGTTTGGAATCTGGAAGCAATACTTCCATGGAAACTCATAACACAGCAGACACATTAGAGTACTGTGGTGCTAGGCTTCATCTGTGAGGAGTATATTTTTTTAATGTTTTCTATTAACTCTTGTAGATGGTTTATGTTGTGCTTGGTTTGTATACCCTATCTTGCGTTGGTGTAGGTGTCTGAGATAGGGACTAGCTCCATTGGTTGGGCCCAACTGAGTATGTTTGAACTGGAGACAGAGACAGAGAATCCAGTCTCCTAAACGTTCATGGTGCAATCCAAAAGTTCCCGAAATATATTAATAAAAACTATTACATCTTACCTAGATCTTATTCTGCACCATCACCTTCAAAGTAGTCCCCTTGGGAGNAAAATTGTGAATTGTATAAGTGCAAGCGCGAGTGTGGAATAAAATTCACTATATTCAATATGGCATGAAGTAATTTGTCGCATGACATATACCCAACACGTGACAATATATATTGGTTTTTACCTTTGTTGCAACAAAAATCATTCACTCACACTTTTATCATTAAAAAAACTCTGTGGCCTGTAGTCTGCAAGCGAACTATGCTAACCGAGGAACCATCGCTGTTGGTGAAGTTAGTACCAACTTTTGCAGATAGAGGGTGTCGCATGTCAGCACAACAAATCCCCACAGCCGTTAATTTCAGTTTTCGAGACTGGAGCCGCTATTTCCTTGAAATTGCTCCTCAGTTATCCTCACGAGGCTGCGTTCCAGACCCACCACACGCTTTTATCATGTTGTGTTTTATATATATATGCACAAATCAGAATATTTCTGTGTTGAACATGAAGTTCTCGTTGTGATTATAAAGGATATGATCTAGGTTGTAAGCTGTGTAGTTTGCTAGAAGTCCACTGACACTTTCTCAAGTCATCATCACTGTTCTGTCAAGCTACATGGCATTACAATCAAGATAATACTCTTCATAATATTTGTCTTTTAGACTGCAGTTCGGGCATATAGTTTTTTGTGTCAGTAGATCGTGGATGCTGCCTTTTGAAGTTCCTTGGACATACTGTAAATTATGGAGTATGGTCTTGTGGCAGATGTTACATTGGCGAAACAAGCAGACCTTTAGAAGTACATGTTATAGAGCACAAATATAGCTTGACACAAGGTCTGCTTGAGCAATCAGAATTAGCCCAACATGTGTATGAAGAAGGTCACAAAATATGTTGGAAAGAAGCAAAGGTCTTGCAGATTGAACCGTACACCCGATAGAGGAAATACAAGGAATTTGCCCACGTCTCTGATAGACCATCTGATCAGTCAACCCAGCTTGGACATCTCTCCCATCTAGACTCCAGTTGTCACAGCAGAAGACAAAAAAACTACAGCTCCATCCAATGTAGATTAAGTGGGAAAATTAGTGTTCTTTTATGTTGATACCGTACAGAGAATTTCTCTCTTCTATTCTGATAGTACTGTTGCATGTTTGGAATCTGGAAGCAATACTTCCATGGAAACTCATAACACAGCAGACACATTAGAGTACTGTGGTGCTAGGCTTCATCTGTGAGGAGTATATTTTTTTAATGTTTTCTATTAACTCTTGTAGATGGTTTATGTTGTGCTTGGTTTGTATACCCTATCTTGCTTTGATGTAGGTGTCTGAGATAGGGACTAGCTCCATCGGTTGGGCCCAACTGAGTATGTTTGAACTGGAGACAGAGACAGAGAATCCAGTCTCCTAAACGTTCATGGTGCAATCCAAAAGTTCCCGAAATATATTAATAAAAACTATTACATCTTACCTAGATCTTATTCTGCACCATCACCTTCAAAGTAGTCCCCTTGGGAGCGCGATCCCAGCGTTTCTGCCACATTTCAAATGCATCCTGGAAGTCTTTCTTTGTTAGGGTGTTTAGTACCGTCTGCGTTTCAGCTTGAATGCCCTCAACTGTATCAAATCTTCGCCCCTTCAACTTGATTTTCATCTTGGGGAAGAGAAAGAAGTCGCATAGAGCTAAGTCTGGCGAGTACGGTGAGTGGGGAATGACTGCCATCTTGTTTTAGCTAAAAATTCCTGCACAATGTAAGCCGTATGCAGTCGTGCGTTGTCATGGTGGAGTACCCAGTCATTCGTGCGCCACATCTCTGGGTGTTTTCTCCTCGTGACCTCCCTCAGACGCCTTAGAATATCGCGATAGAACTCTTTATTGACTGTCTGACCAGGAGGGACGAACTCCTTATGAACAATCCCGTCAATATCAAAAAAACAGATCAACATGGACTTAATGTTAGTCTTGACTTGTCGAGGTTTTTTTGGCCGAGATGAAGAAGGGCTCTTCTATTGTGACGATTGCTGCTTGCTTTCAGGGTCGTAGCCATAAACCCAACTTTCGTCACCAGCGACAACCTTCGAAAGAAAGTTTGTATCCTCTTGAAGCTGTTGCTGAAGTTCCCTGCAGACTTCCAAGCGATGCTGCTTCTGTTCATTTTGCAGCAATCGTGGCACCAACTTCGCCGCAATCCTCATGTTCAGTTCCTCTGACAAAATTTGTTGACATGTACCATAACTTAGTCCCAAGGTGTTACAGAGGTCTTGGATGGTCAGTCTACGATCTTGCAGAATCAGATCCCTAACTTTCGCGACATTTTCTGGTGTTTTGCCCGTTGACGGCCATCCCGAACGATCGTCATCATCAGTCAATGTTCGGCGATTTTTAAAACGCTTATACCAGTTGTAAGTTTGTGTCTGGCCTAAACTGTTTTCACCAAAAGCTTGCTTCAACATTTGGTGTGTTTCTGCAGCCATTTTCCCAAGTTTGAAACAAAACTTTATACAGACATGCTGCTCTCTCAGGTCAGCCAATGCAAAACCGCAAAGTCGCGGAAACACAACAATGGAAATACGTTCACCAACAATAAACCCAACCACTCAACTCGACGCCACTTGCCACACTGATTCAAGAAGGATGTGTGAGGAGACACCTAGCGGTATTTCGATGTACTCCTAATCATTCACGCGCAAAATTCAAATTTCGGAAACTTTTGAATTGCCCCACGTATTTTAAATAAAAACAGGAGGATGGATGATGGCCAGAAACATAATATTTGTATGGTCTTCTTGGTTGTAACACTGTGGTTTGGACAGCGCCAACCAGTTCAGAGTAACATACATCTCCATCTTCAAGGTGAAAGAGAAAGCTAGGTAAGATACCAGTAGAAGCAGGTGGCAAACTGTACGTGATGTTTCTCTGAAACATCAGGCTGTCTCTGAACTACCTTGTGTTAACAATCCATTTGACCATATTCTTTGTAGTCTGCCATGAGAACCTGAAATCGAAGATAATGTACACCGTTTGCAACTTATTTCTTTACTGTTAAATACTGCAAGCATTGGTATATGGCAGAAGATGGGCTGACAGGTAAACCAGCGGCAGAGCTGCTGAGAGTAGACCTGATATTGTTGATCTCAGGATTTGCTGTCGTGTTTGTGTGGATTTAGAAGCCCAGCAGAAAAGAACCTATAGTCCTAATGCCTGGTATCTTCTAATTTTGAATGTGTTTGTCTGGATGAATCTCAGTGCTGTCAAGGCAGAGAAAATTTGTGTGGATAGTAATTGATATTGATACGAAACTGCAGAGTTGTATGTGACAGGAGAGAATGCCTCTGCATTTGGGCGCTGATATAAAAATAGTTTCTAAAAGATTATAAATTATATAAGGGCCATACCATAGTTCAGGTGGTTAGGTGCCAGCTTCCCACCATGGTGGCCCGGGTTTAATCCCAGGTCAGGTCATGTGGGATTTGTGATGGACAAAATGACACTGGGGCAGGTTTTCTCTGCATACTTCAGTTTCTCCTGTCAATTCTCATACCACCAATTGCTCTGCATTCATCATCATCTGTCATTTGGAACAGGTTCAGTGGGCCAAATAGTGGTTGACACACCAAGTGGACTTATTGTTATGCCACCCAAAGAAATGGTATATAAAGTGATGTAGAGGACTGATTGTGAATGTTTACAGGTTTGTGGATGATACCAGTGTGTGTCGTATGACTTTTGACAAAACATTTGAGGGCAGTTTGACAAAAAAGCTAATCAGCGGAGCTATCTTTATCTTCAATCCTTGTACTGGTCAGCTGTTCTTGAAGATCATTCACACTTCTGTGCGGGCTGGGCAGAAACGTTTAAAGCAGCTGGCAAAGTGGAAGACAACAGAGGAAGTGGCTGCTCTAATTCGGTCATTGCCTGTGGAAGAGCAGCCAAAACAGATCATTGTCATGAGAAAGGGAATGTTGAATCCACTTGAGGTAAAGTTTTTTTATTAGTAGCAAATTAAATATGAGGAGAATGTAGACCGAATTGTAGTATTAATTGCATAGAAATTAATAAATGATGGACTTTACTGTCACTTGTTCTTTTATGTATGTAGGTACAGTTGCTGGACTTTCGCAACATTGTGATCAGGGGTTCAGAATTGCAGTTGCCATTCCAGGCCATTCTCAAAGTAGAGAAATTTGGTGATCTGATTCTGAAAGTCACAGAACCACAGATGGTTCTGTTCAACCTGTATGATTACTGGCTGAAGACCATATCTTCATATACAGTAAGATCAACTGTCATTATTTTAGACACAGTCTTTAGTTTTGTGTACTTACATTGTAGGAACTAAAGACTTGAAAGACTGTCTTTTGTTGTGACATCTAAATTTAATGACAGTGGCACAATGCCTGATAATTAGAACCCGATATATTTCAGTGCTTATGATGTTTAATATTCCACAGTGGTGATGTCGGCATTGTTGTTGGCATCATCATCATCCTTTCAAGTATAAGGCCATTTGAGATCTGTTATGAGTATTATGAAACAGACTTCATGCATTGTTTTAGAGTTGTTTGAAAACTTCTTTTTCTTTTGGATGTTTTAAAATATTTCTGAAATCCTGCCAGAACTCATGTTGACATGTTTTCTCAAATTTCTTTTCTGTTGTCATGTATAAATTCCCTTGTTTATGGAATTTGTAGTTCTCTCATACTTTCTTTTATGGGCCAAAAGGGCATATCCTGCATTTCTTCTGATATCATTCTACTCTTGTCGCTTCTTCACAATGTCCAGTGCTTCACAAGATTATGTTGGCATAGTGTCTCATAAATCTGTGTTCTTTTACGCTTAGAAACCAGTGATAGGTTAGAGATCTGATTTATAATTCCTGGTATTATGACAATAACAATTCTTACATTCATGTCATTCATTAATTTAAAATTTTGGATACCACTTATTTCTTGTGCAGTATATTATATAGTGTAATAGAATGTGATATTAGTCATGCCTGATATTTAATCCCTTTATATTATAGGCCTTCTCACGTCTGATCTTGATTCTGCGAGCCCTGCATGTGAACACAGAGTGTACGAAAGTGATACTGAAGCCTGACAAGACGACCATCACAGAGCCCTATCACATCTGGCCAACATTAACTGATGAGGAATGGATTAAGCTGGAAGTTCAGCTGAAAGATCTCATTCTTGCAGATTATGGCAAGAAAAACAAGTATGTATATTTCAGTAGTCTCATAATCGGTACATGCAGGGAAAAGGGAGAACTTCGTAGTTTATATGCATCATATAGTATGATAGAAATTAATGTTGTTGGATTTAAGGTTTTCCTTAATCACTCGTAATTGAAAAAAATTGTTTCCTACATGTTATATTTATTGTACATAATTCCATCCCAGTTTTGTTGGAGCGATTTTCTCTTGTTATCATTTTGATTATGTTCAGATCCACTTCCTGTTGGGTGTGGTACATATAATTTTATTGTATGTCACAAAATTCTTGCTCTTGCCCCCCCCCTCCCCACATACTCTTCTGATGTGGGTGGAGTAATAAAGTTGTGGAAGTTACATGTTCAGTCAGTAGCTTATCTGCTATTGCTTCTGATTTATTCAACCAAAGGTTGTATTTATACTGGAACCTTCATTTATGTTTCTGAATTTAAGCCTTTCTCTCCCAGTTAATGTTGAATTTCAGTGATCACAAATTAATGGTGTCTGTGTTGAATTTACTGAATTGTAGATATTCTTTAGTTTAGTGTTGGTGAAATCTGCTGCTCACTGAAGGAACCCTGTACATGGTTTTCAGTACATAAATTGTGTTTATGATTACTTGGCGTCACTGACTCAGCCCGAAATTTGTGACATCATTTTGGGTTTGGAGATTAGTGCTCCATCAGCTCAGCGCCAACAAATACCAGAAATTGAGGAACAATCTCAGTTCACAGCTACTACAACACAAACAGTCAACAAACAAACCTGGTGATGAGATCATCACACCCACCATGCAGAGACATTCAGGAGCTTGTACATTTTTTTATGGTGGTTTAGGTTGTTTTGTTATGACAGCTGAATAAAAAATTCGTTATCCAACATAAATTGTGCTTTTGTATTGTATTCTCTTTGTATATAGGTTGACAGGATTCTATAGCAGTGAATTCCAATTGTGGAATATCCATATAAGCCACGTTTGCCACCCATCCCGTTTAAGCAGAGAATGTCTTGGCTTTATTTCTAATGTCCCCATTTTTAAATACTCTCCTGCATTATTAATCTCTATCAATAACCGCTCGGTAACAGATGTTATTAAACAAGGTACATAAAATATCTACACAACAGTATTTTGTATTTGCAAAAAAGTAGACATTATCCTATGAATATTTGTTGATAAAAAACTTGTTTCTAATTAAATTTTAGTTAGTCTGATGGAAATGTGTCGCCTTATTATTTCAAGATGTCTGATACCGGCTGGCTCTATTTCATTTCGATCTTGGTACACTGTAATATAAAGGACTATCATGCTTTATGCCATATGTGAGCGAGTTGCATAGTAGACATAAAACAACTTCACTGCTTGAGATGGAAAGTTTTGATATAATGGGCATTGTGGTCAACTTTTAAAATTTGGCCTAGGCATGGGTAGCTTGACGAGGAGTCGGAAAGTATTTAAGGTAACCAGGTCTCACATTGCTTTGGTACAACACGTGACTCTGCTGTATTTAATTATAAATGATTTATAAAATATGGAAAATATAATATAGGAACATTGACATGTGATTAAAGGTAAAGTTATAAATCGCATATGAGTTTAGAGAAATGTCTTTATGAGGCCCTGCTGAAGAAGGGACCGACATTCTGCTTTATATGTCGGAGATCCAGGCATGATTCTTAGCCTGGGGACCGCCAAGCCTGACTGAGGTTTATGTTGGATGCCCTTATCTCTTGCAGGTGAACAGTGGGATATCTTAAAATAGGTTATGATGACTTTCTTTCGAATTTACAGAAAACTAATCTTACATTTGAATATGTATGATCGGGGACATTAAATATGAAATTTGTAAATGAAGAATAAGCAAGAAATATAATGAAAAAGTATCCTATACTCTTTTTCTTTCAAGGGTATGTTAATTTTAATTACGATGTGAAATTATTTCCATACTTTAGATGTAAATGATGTATATAATAACGTCTGTGATCTATTTGCATTACGGCATAAAAGAATCAAGTCGGGTTAACATGATTGAGAAATAGGGTGTAGTGCTTTTTTACTCACATCCCTTATTTTCTGTTAACTATCAATGGAGAACTATGAGCTGGAATAGCATAGTCAGTATAGTGACCGGCTACAGGCTGGATGATGGAGGGGTCGGAGTTCAAGTCCCGGTGGGGCCAAGAATTTTCTCTTCTCCAGATCCAGACCAGCTTTGGGACCAACCCAGCCTCCTATCCAGTGGGTACTGGGGGCTCTTTCCCTGGGGTTAAAGTGGCAGGGGCATTAAGCTGACCACTCACCTCCGGCTAGTGCTGAAGTCAAAATGTGGATCTATACATCCACTCCCTCATAGGCCTTCATGGCTTAGTATTTATTAATTAGATAAGCACAGGGACAACTTTACCGTTTTTCTTCTATTAAAGGAGAATTTCAAAAAATGCAGCTTAAGTGCTAAAGGTTAAACTTGTCTACACTCTGTTAACAGGATACTTGATGTCCATTTTGTCAGATACTTGTTTCTCTTTGTCATATCATATTTGGAAATTTAAAATCCTGTATCTTTCTCAGTCATTTGACAGTGCACTTGAGGACATATTTTAATTGCAGTCATCTAGTTCATTATAAAAGCAATGTAAATACTTAGGGGGAGATTCGTAAGCCAGAATTGTGAAGGTTTAATAATTTGGACTCTGTGTTGCCTGACAGGCTGACACCTTGGAGAAAGTGCTTGGTAATGAAGCTTAGTGACTTTGAACCAAGAAACATGCATGAATCTCCCATGTCCTTTTCTTTTAAGTCCACTGTGCAGGACGGTTCCTTGTACTAAATGTACGTATCATATCGGATGCATACAATTATAATGCCCAGTTTATTCATGTGGTCAGCTTGCAAAATTTAAGGATAGCTGGAAGAATGCGATGTGCTGGGTGATTGGGAGAAAGAAATATGTACAGCATCCAGAATATAAACAGTCTGGCCCAGAGTTCTGCACGATTATACTGGACCATTAATACTTATATATTATTTTTATTCTGCATAACAGAGCACCTGCTTTTACAAATTCTTGTTTTAAATAAGTGGCTACCTTGTATTTGCATACTGATAATGTAATATAATGTCATTAATATTTTTAAATCCATGAGTTGTCTTATATGCAAGAACAATCAAAAATACTATTTGTTGGTGGATTGGACTTTACAGTCACAAGTCTGTGCTAAAGATATTTGGAAATTCAAGTTACATTGAATTTTAAAGTCTGTGAATAATATGCTTCAAGAAGGATGTTTGCCTTAATTTACTGTGTTGTACACATCACAGATTGTTGATATTATTAGTAATTAGATTAAGGTTTATAATTTTGTCATGGTATGTATACTTTGAACTCTTTGTTGACGTTCCTGGACAAAAGAAATGGATGACATCACTTACTGAGTGAAGAAATGCCATGCAGGATATTCAGCTCAAGTTTTCCTCCCCAGCTGTATACCAGTAATGAGAGGCCCCAGCACTAAAGGTATGTAGCTCATTCGATATAGCCCACCATGACTGGGCTCTGCTGTTGACTGCAGCCCTTTTACACGTTTGCACAGTGGAACTCCCATTTAATGTTCTTCAGTTTAAGGTATTCCAACATTTAACATTCTGTTCGGTGATCAGATTCAATATTGTAACATGTTGTGCAACGGAGAACCCTTCCCTACCCAGCAGCAACGTGGCAACTCAGGCCACAGTGACGTGGCGGATGAGTCAGCGCTCCCCCTCCCCACGGTAACGTAACGTGCAACGCGCGGTGACGTAAGACAGCGTGAGGTAACAGCGTGGCTACGTAACAGGCCCACACAGCCCCTATATAAGAGAGCTGCGCTGCCTGCGAGTAGTGAGTTGAAAGGTGGCCATCACCGAGTTCAGTAGTAGTTGAGCCAGTGTGTTATCAACAGTCCTCGAGCTACCTCCGAGTTAGTTCCGAGTTAGCCAGCAACCAGTCAGTTGTATTCTGGCATTTGCAGTGTAGTATTTGTGATTCTGCAGATAGCAGTAATTGTGAATCTGTAATTTGGGTGATTGTAAGTGCGAATGTGAAATAAAATTCGCTATATCAAATACGGCATGAAGTTATTTGTCGCGTTATACACCCAATACGTGACAATATTAATATTGTCAGTGTTAATTTGCCTCCATTTAAGGTTTTTCTCAGTTTCATGTTTAGATCAGTGCTCCTCACAAAAACCTATAAATGGGCTTTTCACTGTATCACAGATGTCACTGTATCACAGATGTTTGAGTGAAGTACCCTGTTACCTGAGGAGAGTATTTGGGCCTACCAGAGAGGAAGTAACAGGAGGCTGGAGGAATCCCTGTTACCTGAGGAGAGTATTTGGGCCTACCAGAGAGGAAGAAACAGGAGACTGGAGGAATCCCTGTTACCTGAGGAGAGTATTTGGGCCTACCAGAGAGGAAGTAACAGGAGGCTGGAGGAATCCCTGTTACCTGAGGAGAGTATTTGGGCCTACCAGAGAGGAAGTAACAGGAGGCTGGAGGAATCCCTGTTACTTGAGGAAAGTATTTGGGCCAACCAGAGAGGAAGTAACAGGAGGCTGGAGGAATCTGTGTAATGAAGAGTTTCATAATTTGTATTCTCCGCCGGATATTAGGGTCATCAAAAGAAGGATGAGGCAGGTGAGACATATGAGACAGATGAGAAGTGTGAACCTGAGTGGAAGGACACCATTGGAAAGAGCTAGGAAGAGATGGCAGGATAACATTGAAATGGAACTTTTGGGATTGGGGTGTGCATTCTATTCATCTGGCTCAGGATAGGGACCCATGTTTGGCTTTTGTGAACCTATGCAGTTCAAGGCTTGTAATTCCCCGACCTTACCCAACTCAGAGTTGTGCATTCACTTTCTAAATAGGGTTCTAACAATACTTTATCCTGGATACCAGGTTATGGCAATGATGCAGCTGATGCTGTTGCCAGGGATGTGACTGTCCAGGTTAACTTGATACCTTGTGTTTCAGATTTGGATATAGGACACCTGTCAGTCTGTTTGACCACCTCTGTGGTCTAGTTGTCACAGTTCCTGACTACAGATCCTGAGGTCCCGGGTTCGATTACCGGCGCTGCCAGATTTTCTGTGAAGTAGTGGGTCTGGAACAGGGTCCACTCAGTCTCGTGCAAATAATTGAGGATCTATTTTGAGGAAATAGGTCTAGAAAACCGAAATTAACGGCCGTAGGGATTTGTCGCACTGACCTCGCGACACTCTCTATCCACTAGAGTTGGCACTAACTTCACCGAAAAGTGGTGGTTGCTTGGTCAGTATAGTTCAAGTGTGGACTAACACCATGGAGTTTGTTTGTTTGTAAGTCTGTTTGTTCTGGGAAAATACCCAGACAACAAGTTAAGGGAGGTGAATCACTGGTGCATGTCTTGTCTCATGTCTTGATGAGGCCATCCTAACTGGATGCAAGTCAGTCACACCTGTCTGGGAGCCCACCTTCCATGTCTGCCTCCTGCATCTGACCCACTTTTTGGTAGAGTGCCCCACGTACACCACCCAACACACTTGAATGGATTCACCTGCCATGCACTGATCCTGAAGTACTGTGTAGATATTCTGATATTTTAACCCAAGTTTCAGCCTTTTCATTAGCGATTGATATGAATGGTATGTTAGATGTATAATTATCCATACTTTTACTATAAAATGTAGTAGGTACCCTACATCTGTTATTCCCTCATTTTTCCATTCATTTTATTGAACTGCTGCAATGACAGTGTTATATTTCTCCAATTCCAATTTCTTTGACTTTATCCTTATGTCAAGAATAAACTTAGCACATTCAAAGCAGTACAACTCACTGTCCTTATAACCCTTTATTTAGCCATTTCTCAGAATTTTCCATTTGGCAGCAGTCATGTTTGTTTACACATATTGTTTTGTGATGGTAGATTATTAGCCTCATGCTGAACCCCTAACCTGAAGGACCAGGCACCACTCTTTCATCTGGCCCTTACCATTTGACTTATCTGGCATGGGTGATCCTACCAGGAGCTTATGTACCCAGCAGCATGGCTGTCTTCGGGTGACCAGTACACAAAAACCCCCCACTATATTAAGGTAGTGACCCAGGGGGAGGAACCCATAACCAGACACAATAATCTTTGCTGTTAGACAGCACTGTTATATAGACCATAAAAAATCAGTTTGCTTGGAGAGGGATGTACAACTATGATATTGTGCAGTGGGCTAACCCTGTAGCTTTCTTTGCTTATAGTTTCTGGGGACATCTCTTTTGTTCTTTGTGGTCCATAGGCCCCATCCTTTGGGTGGAGGTTGTACTCTGAATATAGCAATCTAAATGTTCACCTCTATGAATGCCTTTGATTTCACAATGCATAAGACAAAATTTTCAATATATAAAATAATGAAAACTGTAACTGGTCATTTTGTATATATAGTTGTAGCTGTCCGCCGACGTACATCTGCCACGACTGTAGCTCCAGCTTGAGTTCTTTATCTCATGGATACAGGTGGTTCGGATATGGGAGTGGTACACACTTCGCAGTTAATAAATCAGGGATCTCCAGAACACACTGTGTATTGAAGTCCTAATTTAAAATTTCACACAGGAATTAATCTTTTATTTTATTCCTCCAAGCTTGCCACTCCTTCACACTTATCCTTTATATGCCAATTTGCCCCGAGCTCACTGACCATACACTCCACTCCCCAGCTACCCTCCTGTAACTCCCTTTTCAACTGTCCATCTCCGCTCCCTGTAAACAACTGCCCTCTCTTTACAAGTCCCCCATTGGCATAAAAAAAACAAGAAAATAAAAAGAGAAAGCCAAGGGTTGAGCCTGGCATCTCTCCTACATTTGTATTTTTTGAACTGCCCATGAACTTTTTTAGGTCTTCAAGGCACACGAGCAGGGAACCCAAGACCCCTCCTGGCCAGTCTCGCACAAGGTCAGTTCATGGGTTTATGATACTAGGAGCAAACAGGAAAAGTTAGGGACAATAATGACACCCTAAGCCTAAGGAGGACAATAGCCGGATTACAACTAGACAGTCCAGGGATGGTATCTCACCAGAGGAGCATCTCTCATGGTGTTAAACAATGCATAAGTTGTTCATTCCCTTAATTAAATAATTTTGGCAAGGGATGTA